GCAACCTCGATCCGCTCAATTGTTATCCGAAAAAAATAATCCCTTCGTTCATAGTTTAAAAGAGATTTTGGCAAAATACGTTAAAGATGTTAAAATAGCTACTTTGACTCCTGATAAAAGAGATCCCGATTTTGTTTTTTTCGATGTTACCAAATCAACAGCACACGTTTACAAGTGAGTTTTTATCAAGTCAAACCCACATGATCAATTCAAATTTTTTTAATTTAATTTTCAAATATTGATTTTTGAAATTTAAAGAAAAAATAATTAGAATGAATTATTAAATTTAAATTTAATTTTTTTTTTTTCAGCGTGAAGCCAGCAGTATTTGACTTGTTCCTGACAATAGCCATATTAATATATTTAGGTTTAGTTTATCTACTTTTAAATAATTTTCCATTAATTTATGCTCTCGTTTTAAAACTCGTTAGCACGAAGAAAAAAATATCTTGAACTATTAAAAAAAAAAAAAATATGCAATAATAATAATAATATTAATAAGAATTTTAGTAATTATAATTACAAATGACTAGTTCAATTCGTAAAGGTTTTATTTATATACATAAAAAAAAACTAAGAAAAGTAATATTGGAGCGAGGAGAATTTGAAAAAGAAAAACGTACACGATAATTAATTGTACTAATTTACAATAATAATAATAATAATAATAATGAAACGTACGTAAAAAAAAAAAGTAAGAATACGTACGAGAAAATAATTTTTTTTTTGAATGCATCGGAAAAAAAAAGTGTGGGGAAAAACAAAGAATTTGTAAATATTTAATTTATTAAAATTTTTTTTTTTTGTAAAATATAAAAACATTTCATACTTATCTTTGTGATTAATAATTATTTGTTTTTGTTCAAATTTATTATATTTATTTAAACAATTAAAAATTTATTACTCTGTTGTAAAAAAAAAAAAAATTAATTTTGGAGTATCTGTCTTCCATTTTAATTTTTTTTATCCTTAGTAATTTTTATATTATTTTGTAAAAAATGAAAAGGATTTATTTGAAGCAAAAAGGATGATCGTTTATTACTGACTGAAAAGTGTAACATCTTTTTATTAACATTTAAAAAAAAAGGGAAAATTTTCCGTATCCTTGGATACAAAAGAAAATTTTATTATCGATAAAACATATTCGAATTAATTTTTTTTTATCATAGGGGGAATGGAAGAAAGTTACATTAATATAAAAAGTTAATTAAAAAGTTTTTTTTTTTTTTTTTTTTAAATAAATGACATTTTTATAAACTCATCTTTTTTTTAAAAGACAATTTAGATTATAAAATTTATAACATTTTCGTGTTTAAAACTAATTCAAATTGACGAAAAAAAAAAATGAAATCTAAAAATGTTAAATCAGTGTCCGATTGGTCTCCTAAGAGATTACCTAATTCATATAACAAAAGAATGGCTGTGGTGAGTTTATTATTATTATCATTATCATTATTATTATTAATTTTTATCCCTATAAATCATAAAATCAATCAATTTATTTATTGCTATCGCGTGAAGTTATTTGTTTTTTTAAACAATTTTCAAGATTATTTATTTTGATAATTATTAATTTCTTTTTTTTTTTATTGCTAAAATTAGAAAATAAAATAAAAATTTATGTACATCTTTTTTTTTTTTTTTAACAGACTAAAAATAAATAAATTATTATTATTATTTATTTATTTATTTTTAATTATATTTTTTTTTTTTCGTAAAAATATTTCGTGTTTGCGTGTTTGCGCAAATTTAATTAAATAAATTTTAATATTTTATTATTATTATTTATTTATTTATTTAATTAATTAATTTTAATTTTGGGGTTTAGATAAGTCGTAAATAGATATATTTAATTAAGGAAAGTATTTAATAAGTATTCTGATTGATACATAAATAATTTTTAAAAAATTTAAAACTTCTTCATTATGGTGGCTACCCGTTTAATAAAAAACTTTTTCTCATTTTTTTTTAATTTAAATTAATAAAAAAAAAAAAAAATTAATTAATTTTATTAATTATTATATTTACATAAGTTGTTAGCACAAAAACCTTTTTTTTTTTAAATAAATATACCAAAATTTTTACGTTTACAAAATGAGGTGAAATCCTAAAAAACAAAAATTTTCCCACGGTTAGAACAAAAAGAAAATTTTTTTTTTTTTTTTTACATTCAATTTAAAAAAAAATCCCACGTAAGGTAAACATACACATAAAATAAATCATTTTAAAAAATTAAATTTCCCCTTCCCCTTTCCCCCCCCCCCAAAAAAAAAAAAAAAAAAATTGAAATCATCGTTTTGCATGATTAAAATAATTTAATTAAAAACGATTAATAATAAAAAAACAATAAATAATAATAATAATAATAATAATAACGAATTTTATATATATGTTTATAATTCATGATAATTTATGGATAATTTTTTGGGAAAATTCATGCGCTCAACTTCCGTTTAAAAGAAAATTTTTATTTTTATTTTTATTTTTATTCAATTATTAAAAGGTTAAATATTCAATCGTGTCAATCTCCAATGTGTACGAATTGTTTAACCTTAATAAAATTTTCTTTTTAATATTAATTTAAATAAAATATAAAAAAAAAAAATTTGTTTATTTTAATTTGAATGTTGTTGTATGTATCACAACATCACAATTTATTTTTTATTTATTTATTTAAAAAAAAAATGAAGTTAAATAAAATTAGATTATTAAATAAATGTATTAATGAATTAAGAGAAAGAGATAAAAAAGCTAAATCACTTAAATGTCAAAAAAATACCGAAGTAAGTAAATTAATTTATTTTTTGTCTGTTTGTAATCGTTAATTTATATATATATGTTTAGGCTGTAGTCGGAAGTAGTGGAAAAAAACCACCTGGAAAACATTTAAAAGGTGATGATGTATCAAATGATGATTTTTTTAAAAAAAAATCAGATCTTATTAAACCAGATGATCAATTGTGTTTAACAGATGCCGTAAGTAATTTGAAAATTGTATTTTTTTTGTAAAATAAAAAATTATTTAATGTGAAAATGTTTGTTACTCGACAGCAATTGAACGAAGAAATTACTAGAACGTTGACAACGGGAAACATGAATTCACCGAAAAATCTCGTCGAATATAGTTATAAATTAGGTGAATTTGTATCGAAATCTCAAATTTCTACAACAATCGTACTCATTCGTTTGGAAGGATGTTGCATATTAAAAAATTCTCCAGAAGCTCAAGCACAAATAGCTGCTGGAGATTGGTCAGGTAATCATTATTGAAATGTAAATTTAAAAGTTTTTTTTTTTTTTTTAAATGTTTTTTTTTTTTTTTTTTTTTTTTTTTAACAGGAGATGAAATAAAAAAAAGTATAAAAAGTAAATCGAATTCCCTCGATAAAGAATCAAAAATCAATGATGATAAATCAGAAAACGAGGGTGAAGATGAAACGGAAGAAGGAAATGAAGAAGCGACGGATGGTAAAAAAGATGATGAGGATAAAGCAGAAGAAGAAGAAGTGGAAGCAGAAGCCGTTAGCGGAAGTGCGACAAAACCTAAAAAAAAATTAGTCAATGCTTTTAATTATTGCGAACGTTCTTCGCAAACTGCCGACTGTACAAAAGTGGTAAGTGGTTAAAAATTAAAAAAATCTTTTTTATTTGTTTTAATTATTAAATAAAAAAAAATTTTTTTTTAGAATGCATTCAGTCAAACGATTCCACCACCGAGAAAAGTTTTTTCTGAACTTGTTACTCAATGGATAATTTACGATGCATACGCTGAAGATTTTGAAAAACAAAAAAAAGAAAAAGAAAAAGAAAAAAAACTTACGACTAATACTCAAGCTAATAAAAAAGATGACATTAAAAAAAAACAAGATTTGTCTTTCGGCGAAGGAATTCATAATAAAACAAACGAAGCAGCTAAAATTATTGATAGAATGATTTGTCAAAATATTTACGATGATATTGCTCACGATTATAAATACTATGAAGATCCAGCTGACGAATTTCGGCGGGAAGGAACTCTTTTACCTCTATGGAAATTTTTTTACGAAAGAAAAAAAACTTCGGTTACAGATATTTCTTGGAATCCATTTTACTATGATTTATTTGCAGTCACATTTGGAACTTGTAAGTGTTTTTAAATGTTTGTTTTTTTTGTATATTTCGCGAATTTCAATTATTAAATTTTATATTTTAGTTGAATTCCTTAATCAACGTTCTCAAGATGGAGCTGTTTGTCTGTTTACTCTCAAAAATCCCTCTTATCCAGAATATGTTCGAATCACCGAAAGTAGTGCAATGTGCGTGGCTACACATCCGACTCAGACGTACCTCATAGCAGTAGGATTACTTGATGGAAACGTTGCTGTTTATAATACTCACTTACCCGATAAATTTCCACAACATCGAAGTAATTCCGTTAACAAGAAACACTGTGATGCTGTTTGGCAGGTATGTATAATTTTTAAAAGTATTCTTTTAACTTTAAAGTTTAAGTTAAAAAAAACATGTTGTTGTTTTACCAGGTTGAGTGGGGTGCAAACATGCAAGATGGTGAAGTTAATTTTTTTTCAGTTTCTGCTGATGGAAAAGTTTGCAACTGGGTTCTCATGCAAAATGAATTGGCATTGACAACAGTTGCATCATTGTCTTTGCCACTTGAACAGCTTTTGGGACCTGATGGATTACCCATTAACATGATAGGTACTTTTACAACTAAACCACTTGTAGTAGTCATATTAGTTCTTCTCTCCACATAATAAATTTACATAAATTTTAGACAGTGGTTGTTGCATCACATTTCATCCAACTCAACCGTTGATATTTTTAGTTGGAACTGAAGAAGGAAGCATATATAAGTGCAGCACTGCATATTCTTCAACATTTTTATTTAAATATGATGCTCATTACATGCCTGTTCATAAAATCTCTTATAATTCATTTTATCCAGATGTATTTTTATCTTGCAGTGCTGATTGGAGAATAAAAATATGGGAAGATTCAAAAAAGTTAGTCATTAATTTTTTTTTTTTTCAATAAAAATAACGACTTTTTGTAAAAATATGAAATTTTGAGTCTGTTATTTTTTAATAAAATACTTGTTACACCAACCAAAACTAAAAACTTGTTTGATTTCAGTGAGCCATTATTTGTTTTTGACCTTGGTTGTTCAGTTGGTGATGTTCAATGGGCACCATATTCAAGCACCGTGTTTGGAGCAGTAACAATCGAAGGAAAATGTGTTATTTTCGACATAAATATCGATAAATACAAACCCATTTGTGTTCAAAGCATAGCATCGAGAAAAAAAAACGGTTTAACAAGACTTAAATTTAATTTTAAAGTTCCGATAATAGCAGTTGGAGACGATAAAGGAAATATATCAGTTTTAAAATTATCACCTAATTTAAGAATAAAATCAAAACCGCCTAAAAAGCAACAATTTTTCGAACCGGAACAGTTGGAAATAATAAAATTGGAAAAGTTGTTGGCTTTGGTCAGAGAACCGACTACAATTAAAATTAATGACGATGATAATTCTGATTCAGAATAAATAAAATTAAATTTAAAAAAAAAAAAAATTCAGGTAAAGTAAGAGTTGGAAACATACGTTATTGTTTTTATTACACGTGGAGATAGATATTATACACGTGTATTTAAAAAGAAAAAGAAAAGTTACAAGAACCGTTAAAAACAACAACTCAATACTTATCCACTGTCTTATCATTATTATTCTGAAACATAATTATAAACAAATTTGAAATTTTCATTTAAAATTTTGTCTTCTGGTTAAAAAACTTAAACACAACACAACAAAGTCAATTTTTACTTACATAAATAATATTTACATTTAATCAATATAAAATAAAATAAAAAAATATTTTTTTTTTTTTTTTAAATAAAAATTTATTCTCACAGGGCAAAAAAATTAAATAAATAAAAATGAATAGAAGAGATCCAAAAAATAAATCAAAAGGTTCATCCAGTTTTAAAAAGGTTAAATTTAATTTTTTTTTTTTTTCATTATTTAGAATCAGAGCCATTTTTTTAATTTAAGTTATTTTTATTTAAAATAATTAATATAAAATAATAAACAATGTTTTTTTTTTTTTAGATGTCAAAAAAATTTGACGGAAGTATTTTAGATCCTGATGTTGGGATAGATGAAATACTTAGAACAAAAGCTATATTAAAACCAGATGATCAATTGGATTTGCCTGAATATGTAAGTTTATTTTTTTAATAATTATTATTATTTTTATTATTGTTTTAAACAATTTTTTTTTTTGTAGGAGTTAAAAGAAGAAGTTGCAAGATTTTTATTATCATCCGATATGATGGCACCAAAAAATGTAGTCGAATACAGTTTTAAAGATGGAGGTTTTATATCAGTACAACCACCTTCTCCGACAGTTTTTTTAGTTCATTTAGAAAGTTGTATTATATTAAAAGATTCTACAGAAGCTTTAGAACAATTAGCTTGGGGTGTCACTAGTAAGAATAAAAAATTACTTAAATTTTTTTTTTTTTTTTTTAAATTAGTTTGTTAAAAATTTATTATATTGCATTTTGACAGAGATATTATTTAAAAAAGGTGACGCCATTGACAGGTGATGAGGGAGGTGATGCAGACGATGATATAAAAAAATCAGGTGATTTTGGTGGGGAAGAAGATTTTGATTCAAAAAAAAATGTCGAAGATGATAATGAAGAAATAGATTCTGAAACTCTCGAAGCTTTAAATTATGAAGAAGAAGGAGAAGGAGAAGGAGGAGAAGAGGAAGAAGGTGAAAAAGTCGGGATCGAAGGACCCCCACAAGTTCAATTGAAAAGAATGAAAAAACTATTGAATGCTTTTAATTTTTGTGAAAGGGCCGCCATGACGTATAATAATCCATTTAGAGTAAATTAATTATTTAAATTTAAATAAGTATTTTTTGTTAAAAATTTTCTTTATTTCGAAACTAA